GTACTCAGTGTAGGCCTTGTTCAGGAAGGGATTCAAAGTAGTTTAACGGAAGAAGAGCAGAAGTAGGTCACCCGAGACAGGAGAGTACAACATGTCACCATCTCGTGCATTGTGACCTGATGTCACTTGCTTCTAATGAATGCAATGCAACGCGACAACAATGTCAGAGATGTTGTGTAGCATCAGAAAAGCATATATCATTAAAAAACACAATAAAAAAGTAGCTAGTATATATGTTGGAGTGTGTGAATGGACTGTGACATTCTCGCATCTTTGATCTGATCTGATCCTCTGTGATCTGTGATCATTGATCTCCTTATCCTGATCTCTCTGATCCTATCTGATCCTCTTATCTGATCGGGATCTTATTGTCCTGATAACAATCTTATTGTCTTGACATCCATCTTATTGTCTCTATTGTCTCTATTGTCTTGATAGCCATCTTATTGTGTCTGTTTCATCTTATGCAATCTAACGGAGTTCTTACTGTTGACTCCAGACCTCTGTGCTTGCCTGTTTAACAATATGGAGAGATGGATGTGACTTACCCGCTTCCACCTATTGTTGTAGTCCAAACACCACACCCACTGGTAACCGTATGTGCCTACAACTGCATGCCTCACACAGTAATCTGCAGCAGGCATCCTGCCATCTCCAGCCCAATACACGGCACAATTTCAAAACCCTCCAAACCACAGTTGATCACAATTTCCCTCAAATTTGAGGACAATCCTGTGCGCAACTGTGCGGTCCATCGGTTCAGTGTACGGCTGTAGGTTTTTGAGGATGGGGGCCAGACCACATATGCTGGTGTAGTCACAATGAGTTGCTGAATGTGAGGGATCTGGGAGATAGTAGTGGCTTCAGATGCATAGTCACCACTGAGGCTGAGAAGGAGTGCATTAGATCTCCCAGATGAATAAATTACTCCAGGAAGAGTCTGTTGTAATGGTCATAACTCAGACAGAAGGTTGAAAGATTAATGAGTCCAGGCAAAGCCTGTTGGAACAGAGCCCAAAAATCTTGAACAATGGAATTGGTGGGGTATTCAAAATCCACCGAGTCCGTGTCCGAGTCCTGATCCATGGCTGTATTGTGATCGCTTAGCACACACTCAGGTTTGAGCCTCACACTCTTCTCACCGCCTTCCTCTTGAACCCTGTGGTCCTTGTCGCCAGAATCACTAGCTTTGCCTTCCTCCTGAGCCCTGGTAAGTCTTTCCTCCCATGCAAAATGTCGGTTGTCCTCGTCTCCAGAATTGCTGGCATCACCTGTTAAACAGGCAAGCACAGAGGTCTGGAGTCAACAGGAAGAACTCTGTTAGATTGCATGAGATGAAACTACTTGCCTGGAGTCAACAGTAAGAACTGAAGATCCAGGACAATGCTACTCTACTTATATACCTACGGGAACAAAGGGAGTAGCTAGAATGAAAACAAAGGAATAGCTAGAACAAGATACAAAGGGAAAGCTAGATAAGGAACTACAAAGAGATGTCCATATCAAGAACAAGGGAACATCCATATCCGGAACAAGGGAACATCCATATCTGGAACAAAGGAGTATCCATATATGGAACAAGGACCAGATGTGAAAGGATCAAAGAGGATCAATGATCGGATCATAGAGGATCAGATCAGATCAAAGATGCGAGAATGTTACAGTCCATTCACACACTCCAACATCACCATGATCTGAATCCGACTCAGAGACATAGTAGTCTGTCTCAGCCTTCGTGTCGCCTTTGAGATTGAAGGTCAACTGCAGAGTTTCGACACTGCATGCAAGATGACCATGGAGAGATACTGTCTTGAAGAACCTTATGGCACAACAGTAGGAAATAAGGTCGACATGTTGGTATGTGAGAGGACATATAATATGGCTGAATTGGCGACAGGTATATTGGAGGGCACCAAGAGATTTGGCAGAGGGGTCGGAATAGCAAGTATTATTCTTCAATATTTCAAGCCAGATATCTGCATTTACTGTACTTAAAGGTTGGTGCAAGTCTAAGGGCAAATGACAGAAGGCCCACATTGCAGTGCCATGGTCTTGGCAAGTGAGACACGACAGGGGGGGCAAGAACAAGAGGCGAAGTGACTGATCGCGAGCAGATAGCGAGTAACATAGCAGCAACCGGCGACAAGAGAGCAAACAGATGGTGGTTGAAGTCAGAAGCAAAGGATCAGATCCTCATCATTTCTGTTATGATTTCCACAATTTCCTTTTCGGTATGCTCTGGGTGACAGACTTTCCAAAGAGAAACAATGTCGCATTCCAAGACAGTACTACATGATTAATATATTGGATTGCTCGCCTCGCCCTGACCGTGACTCATCGCCCTTCTCTGTGAGCTGCTCCTTCTCAGCGGTGCGGTTAACCCATTCCACTGGGTACCCACTGTCAGGCAGCAGCGAGTTGTGCTTACTCGCCGTGACAACAAGAGGAGCAAAAGCACGTCCAGTGAAGACCTTGCTCTAGGATAAAGGAAACCAGCTCGCAGGGAGTCATACAGTGTCCAGAAATGAGTGGCCTAGACACGAGTTGGCAGAATGTACCATGCTGCAATAAGAAGAGCACCAATGTCGCAACAGAAGACAGCAAGCTCCGAAGTCAAGGAAGACTTTGCACGTATTCTTCGTCAAAATGGCAGACAATTGAGCCCGACATGGTGCCAGAGGGACAAGTGTGGGTTGCCAGGTTGTGTTCCTATTGTTTTTAAGTGGCCAGGCAGAAGAGAAGAAGAGGAAGAAATTTCCAGATCAAATTTGTGGCAATAAATTGTGTTTCAAAAGATGGGACTAAAAATCTTAAAGTGTGACTTCGCGGGCAAGTTATGCAGAGCAGTTGAAGAAGCTACAACAGCTCTCCCTGGTGGCCAGCCGGCGCAGTATTTTGATTCCAATCTTGTTATCATTGCTCATTGGGAATGCAGGTAGATATTGCGCAAAATCACAAGGACCCGACTCAAACCCGACTGCGACCCAAATAGTACTGCGAATGATCCCATGTGTGCCGATAATGATCCTTTTCTTGATGCACTGTCAGGGTGTTATCAAGTCAGTGGCACATCAAGGTCTGAGATCTGGATCGGTGCCACCTCTTGCTATTACACCTGGGCTGCATGTTCATTTATCTTATTCAGGATCTTAACTTGCGTTGACAATAAATTTAGTTTTAGAACCTAGAATTTCATATGACTCCTTGCAAGAAGACTACACTGAGGACAACAATTTACTCAGTAATCTTGAGGCATCAAAGTCTGATTTGCAGTCTCATTATGATATCCATTATGCCCCCACATTGGCACCCCTCGCCTCGGTGTCTACTCCACACCCTGCAGCTGGCTCTCCTCAGAAGGTCGATTTCACAAGCCGCTATTGAAAGTGTGTAGGCGCGGCGATCTCTGACGAGCTCGCTAAGTATTTCTGAATCACCAGCGTGCCTGAGCTGTTTGATGGTGTAGATCCACTCCAATGGTGGTCTAGCCGACACCGCCAATTCCCTCACCTTCACCGTCTCGTCTGCAATATTCTCTGTATTCCAGGTGAGTTTTTCTATTCACTATCACTGTTTTTGGTGTGAAAGGGTGCTCAGGTTCTGCTGTCACGGTTGAGCGGATCTTCTTGGGAGGGTGTGATACCTATCATTGGGCTTCGTTGTGCAAGCTTGAAACAATTCAGACACTCATGTTTGTCAAGGCTCGGTTGAGGTTAGCACGCAAGGCCATCATTGACCTTGTTGGGGATGAGGATGATTTGTAAAATACTTGTTTCCCATTTCTGCTCACTCCATAAATTCAATCTTTTGTGTTGTACAAAAATTGCCTGCAAAATCCTGTAAAATACGGTGTATACATACAGTACAGACGTAACCCATTCCATCTGACCTTCCTCAGTTGGCCTGAATGTACGGGTTGAGCTGTAGCGTATGAAAAATACAGCGTAAAAGTTACACTTGTGGGTGTAAAACAGATGGTTTGATACCCTAGATTGCATATGTTCTGCTGCACAAGAACATCCACGTGAAGTGCTTGGAGGTCCATATCAACAAATACTGTAGCGTAAGATATGTTGAGCGCATATGACAAAGGATGGAGCAGCTGATTGACAGTGCCTATATTGTCCAGCAATTTCAATTCAGTTGCATTGGTGACCACACTGAAACTGAATTAGATTGGTCTCGGACAGATAGAGCTATGTTGTAATCATGATAGCATTGTTTGACCTGATCAGATGCACAAATCACAATCCAGCCATTCTTATTAACAACTGGAGCACAAGGTGACCCTAATTGCAGAAGGGTTCTTATGAAATTGAGGAAAAGATCAAGGGTGATTGATTTACCTCAAGGATCCAAATCAAACCAGCAGCTATGCTCTGCAAACTCTTGGGGGCTTTTGAAGCGAGGGTTTTTCCCTTTGATCTTCAAAAAATTCAGGACTGCACCTAAGGACTCCACAAGAGGAATCTGAGTCTCGAGGGAGGAAAGGGTGGTAACCGCTGGGGGTTCATCCTTCAATAGCTTTGAAAAGCCAACGAGATGATCATTCCATCAAACCAGTTTTTTGAGTAGTTGGGAACCTATTAACCAAGTAGCACATCCCTGTAGGGTCCTTCACACCTGCAGCACAGAACCAGGCTTCGCAAGCGACCCCTCCATAGTTGCCAAAGAATGTATGTTCGGATATTTGGGTGCCAGGAGAAAATCAAAGACTTGGAAATATAGCAGAGATAACCGTCCAAATGCTCATCTGGCAGAGTTTAAACACCCGGCAAAAGCAAGCTGAGGGAAGGCAACAAAAAGACCAAGGACAATTTGAAAGTCGACATGATCATAATCGGGACCATCATTGGGATATGCCTTGATGTTGAGGAGCTTTAAGCCATCTACAAATACGGTATGAGTGGGGCCAAGAATGTGGGAGGACAGGCTATACCGAGTCCCATCATACATGGGGAGGGACTGTTGCAGTACGGATTTGTTCCTTGCACACTATTGGCAGAATAGCTCAGTTGGAAAGAGCAGTGGCACAATCACTTAGAGGTTCCCGGTTCGATTCCGGGTTCAGCCATTTTCCAACAGGGACAGCCATGAGTTCTGGCAAAAGAGAGGTATCAGTGTAAGCCTAGCTGAGTTAGTCATGGCAGTAAAAGCAGGAGAATGCTGTGTTATGCCATCTCACAGCCACAAGAACAAACAAGATCCAACAGTTTGGCTCCATTTGGCTGCTTTATCTCATTTCTCCCAGAGGAGTGGGTGCATTGGTCTTGCTCGGCTCGGGGCTTCTAGGCAGGGAAGCCCCGGGAGATCTCCAGAAGGCTCCGCACCTGTCGGGTTTTCGGATATGTCGGCATCTTGTGGTTCCTCGACCCATCGCGGTCCAGACCTGTAGAGGCCATCAGCCAAACACATCAGGCTGCCTTCAGCTCGTCGTACCCAGTCGTCCGCAAGTCACATAATTGGTCACAACGCCGCCCATAATCACCGTCCGCCACTTGCAACTAACAATACCCTTCTCTGGATACCCGTTTACTTCCTTTTCAATTTCTCGGTGGCAACAAACCCAGGCTTGAAATGAGGTGGTTTCTTGTTCGCCTCGTGCAGCGGCGAACTCCTGTACATCCTCGGATTGTAGACAGCACCTCGGGTCGTTGGAATATGTCGGGGCGCAATAAATTCTTTTCTCCCATATTTAACACTTGCCATGGATATCGCGCGTCTCCTAAATCCTGAGGCCAGCAGCTCTTATTCAAGAATCTCTGTCTCTGGGCTGCTAAACCGGGAAGATGAAGTCGACGCACTGCCATTGATCAATGAATTGGCAACTTTCTCTGCGTCAGAAAACCGGTTACTTGTACCTCTTGAAATACAAAATCATCTGAATGCTGCCTTGGCGTATTTGCGTACTAGCAGCCACTCTGCACTCCGAGTCCCACCTCCTCGCATCTCGCTGTCTCATGATAGCATGATGGACAAACGGCTGAAGGAAACCTCTGTTAAAATCAATTGACAAACCACTCTTGACATTTTGTACCACTATCCTCTTGGTTCTGTTCTCGAATATCCAGAGACTTGTTGTTCTCCTGGGTTCATTGGGCATTTATTCCGTATCGACCCCCAAAATTGGTCCAATCCTATCCTGAACGTTGCATACTCTCGAGGGATGCCTTCAGGACGGACACAAGAGGGCAGTGAAGTCTTTGTCAATGTCCTGGTTGATTTGGCTACCGGCCAAAAGTCCCTTGTGTTCTGCGTCACTCCACATGTAAGCTTTGATTTATTCTTGTAGCGCCCCGTTGAAATATCTACCATAAGTCAAGGATCGAAGGTCTGTCCCTACAGCGACGTTGATCTACTTTCGCTGGGCCATGTGTCGGCCTCTCGTGAAGATATCAAAGAACAATTGTCTTTTGACCGCGATCACAGAATGCAGTCGTCCTCACCCTCCAAAGATGTTTTCCTACGCACTGTGGGTTATGCAGCTGCGATGCAGAAGCTTGGGTGTAGTCGGCCTTTGTCCGAAGAGACCTTCCTACTTGCTTCCGAGGAGGAGGAGCGTCAGACTAGGGATCTGTACCTCCACCAAGTCCAGCGCGGATACCGCATGCCTGAGGGCATCTGTGAGGGGAGACTGGTTTTTGGATATGACGATAATGACTGTCCATACATCTGGTAAGAAATAATCTTGCTAGCTCTCTTGTTTTTCCCTGACGCTTTGAGCAGTTGTGAACATTACATTCCTGGCAAAAGCAAGGATCACTTCAACGACATGACTATCGGCAGTGGAGCTTACTGTGTGGACTATCTGGAAGCCGTGATTACTGGGAACCTCGATGATGCAGCCAAGATTGAGGATGACGCTCGAGACCTCAGTTATGGAGAGCATTCTGTCGTATGTTCCCATCTTACCTTTTATATCTTTCATTTAATAACTCGTATCAGCAGCCGTACCTCACCGAGATCCCAACGGAGCTCTCGTCCAACCTATCCTACAACACCTGGCATGTGCTAGCAAATTCCGTGTGTACGAGCCTCTCGAGCAGTACTGCGCATCTTGCCCCTTTATCCTGATTGTGACGACTGGAGAACATACTCATCCTGTCCCGCTTCCGACAAAGACTCCGCCGCATATCCGTAGCACATTGATGCAGCTTATGGAGGAACTAGTCGATGACCTCCCCGATCTGACTCCACGCCGTTTTCTCCGACATCCTATTGTCAAGGCTTTTCTGTCTAAAACTTTTCCATCCCTAATCAACCCCACTTTGGCGGACTGGCATGTCTCACTGGCGAATCGTTCGCATTTGAAGACATATATAAAACGAGCACGGGATCAGCATTATCCTTTCCGTACCGGCTGGGCAGGTATGTCTTTATTTTCCTCATCACTTATACTCTGCTTACTTCGGTCGCCAGGCGTTGTGAATTTAAAGGCTCATCAAGACGAGAAACTTCCGAAAGAAAGCCATTATATCCGACGTGTCCTTGCAATAGACCAAGCCTATTCAGCAGAGGATGACGAAGATGATATCATCCCTCAAGCTGTTAAAGACGATTGTCTTCGCATTATCATTTGTATGACTCCTGAAGGCAGCCGTCGCCTACTTTCTTCTGGGCGTTACCTCCAGAGTGATATTGCATTCAGACGAATTGTGGGATTTAAAGAGTTTGAAGTAGCTGGTATGGAGAGAGACGCCAATACCAGTACGTTATCAGCACATCTTTTATTCCTTCCTAATCTCGACATAGGTATAATTTACCTGCGCATCTTCGTCAATTGAATGACAGCATTTGCGCACGAGCATATTTTTGCAGAGGTCGAGAATATTGTGTACGAAGACACTGGAAAGCGCCTTAAATGGCATCATCTCCATGCGTCGCAACCAGATGACGGTCTGAATTCTATGATATTGTCCTGGGTGGGCGATCAGCATCGGGGCCAGGCGAAAGGTAAGCCAAATTCTTTTTATTTCTTACAAGATTGTTGAGTGCTCCACAGGCCTGGGTCTACATCTGCAAAAAATCGCATCTCAGATGCCACTGAAATGCGATTTATACCAACCTGACCGATATATCCAGGACCTCACTCCTTACGAGCATTTACACCGCAACTTCCGTGTTTGTGTCGTTCACTACTTTCGATTGGTGAAGCTTTGTGCTACTTCGGACCATGTTCGATGGCTCATGCGCAGCCTGGTCTGCATGGAGCACCCTGAGTGGGACACTACACTTGAAATGATACGAGCCAACGGAGGCAAAGCAGCGCAAGGTAGTGGTGCCATTCTCCCAAATTTATAGTTTGCTTACACTGTATCAGATTGGTTGCAGAACAAGCTTTCGAGCGGGTTTGTTTCGAGGGGATCTGTTGGCAAAAGAGTTTTATGCCTCGGTCGATTTGGGAAGCCGGTGATAGCAACTCGAATCTAATTGAAACCGTTCACAGCGACGCAAATCGGGAGGGTGTACATTGCACTTTGCTTGGTTGACTGAAGAAAGGGCAGCAATTCGATGCCATGAAGATGAAGACACTTCTGGTAAGCGTACCCAAACCATTCCTGATTTCATTTCTGATTTCGTCGTCTTAGACATTCGAAGCATTCGGTGTTACACCGACAGATAAATCCGGGCATGTGTCGGAGAATGCTTTCATGAATCTCAAGCGTCGAGGTAGGTTTTTCACTCCTCTCCTTAGCATAGCTCTTACTTGCGCCCAAGATAACCAGATGCATAAGCATCTAGTCAACGAGGATGAAAAGATTCATAGCTGGAATAGAAAGCTTCAATCAAGTATCGACAGTGTGGTGAAAGCTCAACGTGCACTCGAGGGTAAACTCCGCCAAATCCAAATGGAAAATGACACGTTACGCCGACTGAGGCTGGAGGAGGAGATTGAAAAAAAGCGAAAAGTAGAGTCCAAAGCTCTAGCTGCGTTTGACAAGGTCTGGGCGGGACGAGATGCGCTCACTAAAACTGGATCTGGGCGCGTAACTTTACTGAATCCCACATTTGAAGAATGATCAGGAATACATTGTAACTACAAAATTGTATGCACGAATATCACATCTGTTCAATTTTTGTGTCTAGAACCAGTCAGCCAGATGAATTGAGCGAGAAAGGAAAACTTGCCGGTCTCGGTATGTACGCTTCACCAGCAGCAGCCAGAGCGGCGTCGCTGGAAGAAGAAATAGAGAAATAAGTAAAGCAAGACACAAATGGCGACTGGGCTTACTATGTGTCAAAGACTGCGGCGAGACCAGTGACCTTATAGGTAGGAGTCCCATGGTCGTGTTTTTTGAGACACCAGGTGGCCCAATATTCGAGGGCGAGAGCCTTGGTTCGGAATTTCTCCCACTTAGCATCTGTAACTTTGTTGACCTGCTTCAGGCCATCGGCACTGAACAATAGTTAGAAATGCTGAGAGACAAGTATCAATCAAGACTTACAAGTTAAAGTAAATACCCGGTGCGCGTCCTATAAAAACCACATAGTAATATGTGTCTGCGTCGAGGTCGTGGGATCGGTGGTTTATGAGATCGTTGTCGAAGAATACAGGGGCGCAAGGACGACCAATATGAGGCATAGTTGTAAGAGTCGAGATGAGCGAGTTGTAGTTGTAAGAGATGGAAGCTGGGCTGGGAGACAAAGAATACCAGAGCACATTGTTTATATAGCTTGCTGGTCGCCTCAGTGGCGGTCGATTATCTTGGATAATCAGAGGATAAAAAAGTGTTAGTGACAATATGTGGGTTCGTTGGTGGCAATAAAGCACCTAGACATAATTGAGGAGTCGTAGAATGCGGTAACTTGAATGTGCATGCAGTCGATTATCTTGGATAATCAGAGGATAAAAAAGTGTTAGTGACAATATGTGGTTCGTTGGTGGCAATAAAGCACCTAGACATAATTGAGGAGTCGTTGAATGTGGTAACTTGAATGCGCGTGAGTGAGCTATGTGGGTTCGTTGGTGGCAATAAAGCACCTGGACATAATTGACGAGTCGTAGAACAGCTTTTGAATGCAGTAACTTGAAGGGAACATGGTCAATAGCTTAGTAGTGAGCTATCAAACACG